AAAAAAAAAAAAAAAAAAAAAAATGTGCTGCCGAGAATGAGAAAAGGTTTTGGGGTAATAAAGTGACAGCAGCTCTCGTCCGTGGGACAAACGAACAGGGAGCGCCGTGGCAAAGCCATCACACCATCGTTCGTTGCAGCTAATACTTGTGCAGCTTTCTTTTAAGATTTCTCATGTTTTGTTGTCGTCGTTTTTACTTCATTTTTATGTGACGCTCGAACACGGCGCGCTTTTAGAAGCCGCCACTAACTGGTTCTCCAAAGCCCACGAGTAACGCTGGTCACAAGTCAGCCGTCAAGTAAGCTGTCAAGTACGTAGCACGAGTTGAATTTCTGCCTTACGCCAGTGGCGCAATGAAAGTTCACCTTCACGATCCAGCCGGGCTACTTTACTGATTAAATGCGGACGTGCGGTCAAAAGATGTGTCTCGTTTGAAAATGTGATCACGTTGGTTGTTCGAGGCTGAAGGCCTGAGCCCTGTGAAGGTTTTTAATTAATTAGCCAAGCTTGATTAGCCACGTTTAGCGTGGCTCGTTAGAGAACACGAGAACCCTGCGTTGCTGCGATAAAAGTAAAACACTTCACATCTGTAGTCAGATCATTGCATTTGAGATTGAAAAACATTCTGGACGGTGGGGCGGTTTGCGTCGCTTTCAGCTCATTTCTCAATGTCCTCCGTTGTGACGGGTATGATATTACGTCTGAGGGCAGTGCAAAGTTCTGTACATGTGTGTAACACTTTGAGGCTCTATAGACTGCAAAAAAACCTGCTTTTATATGTAAATGAGCCTGACATAGCTGTCGAAGCACAATATTAGGACGATATAAAATCAACTGTTAATGATCGTGCGAGAATAATGTATCATCTTAAGATGTATGTATTTTATTTCAGTGGAATTTTCAAAGAATAAAAGCGCTTTTTGTTTTTTGAAGCGTTGGTCTCTTCCCATGTCTCATTAATTAAGTAATGTGTGGGTGTGTCTGTGTACGTCTTGTCTCTCTGGCTGTTGCTCACCCTTCCATCCAACAGCCCTGCCAGGAACAGCTGCTCATTAAAGGGCCAACCGGTGGGCCCTGAACTCTTAAAATTAAGGCACTGTTTCAGAGGCTCCATCGTTTGTTTTAGGCCTCCCGAGACCCTTTGGCCAAAAGGTATGTTGGCTTTGCAACCCCAACAAGTTACTGTATGTCTTTACACTCAACCTTGATAAAAGTACAATATTGTCTTTTTCGGAAGTAATAAAAACGCAAATGGTATTTGTAGTGCGAAATTTAATTTGGTGATTTCAGTGGGTGTATGAAAAAACTCTCGGCCATGAATAAAGAAATGTGACGTATTTTTACACTGCTGTGAACGCCAGTTCATGGCAAGCCATTGGCAACTACTTTGTAAATAATAATGTCGATGTGAACCGAGGATCCCTGCGTATCTTGTTTTTTGTTTTTAAACGAACGTGCACTTTCCTTTCGAACAGTTAATCTCTGTCCCTGGTTCTGAAACCATTGCGGTGCTTTACCAGCAAGGGGCGCTGCGTGTGCTCAAGTGTTGAACTTGACGTCGCGCGATCTCAATTAGGCTTGTGAGCAGCGATAAGGCTTCTGTTTGGATGCGTCGGCTTAGCGGGCACCCCCGGTGTGTGTGTGTGTGTGTGTGTGTGTGTGTGTGTGTGTGTGTGTGTGTGTGTGTGTGTGTGTGTGTGTGTGCGTGCGCCAGGAAGAAAGTCAGATGTGTCATTAGATCTCCCTGCTGCTCCCCGGGAGTCATCCTAATTGGGAGCCTGTCAGCTTGGACACGACGATGGTACATTACACGCAGGACGCCATTAGTGGGGTCCACCTAATTGATGGACTTTTAACACTACATCCTGAATTTAAAAGGCAGGCGGTGTACTTTTGATACAGTCTAGAATTACTCAGGTGTTCATCTCCACTCAAAGGGGCGCACTCGTATCAAGTATTGGACAATTTCAGTCACTCTCAACAGTGACTGATATTTTCCTTTCAGTTTTGTCTTCGGCAAGTGAAACGAATGTTCAATCGGATTCAGGTCAGGTGATTGACTTGGCCATTGACAGAACCACTTCTTTGGCTTTAAAAATGTTTTGCTTCCTTCGGGTCATTGTCCTGTCAGGGGTCGTCCAATGACTTTTTGAATACCTGTCGAATCGTGCTCTTTGAGCCTCACAGAATTCTTCTGACTGCGGAGATTAGCTCAAAACGTTATGCAGTAAAAAAAAGAATATTAAGGGTTCCATTCAGTCGATTTTCACTCATTTGTTCTGGCAGATTATTCTCTTGCACCACACCATGCCTGATTTACGGTGGTTAATTGTCTGTAGATTTGTATTCTTTTGTCATTTTGGTGTTATTCACAGTAGCAATTGACGCCACAGCACACCGGTTGCTAAGAATTATTTCAACGAAGTGTTGAATTTAAGAACGATCCTACATTTGATACAGTATAATTCGCAGTGTCCTTCGGTTAATGCGTCAAAGCTTTTTTTTCTTTCTTTCTCAGTCACATTGAAAAACGGTTGCGGTGAGTCAGCTAATTGGGCTTGTGAGCCGAATGTGACCAAAATAAAAAAGAAATGACCCAGTAGGCCGAGCTGCCCTCAATGCAGACTTTTATGTGATCACATCCATGAATGCACGAAGGGTCTTTTCTGCGATGGTTTCAGTCAAATTGACATGTTGAAAGCAGCCCGGAATTCAAAATTCGAGACGCACTTGAACCTCAGCGCGCATGACGCGTCCCTGCGTGTGCGAGTTGCTCATTTGAGAGAGGTGGGAGCCATTTGGTTCCTCTGACGTGTGTTACTACTCCTCTGACGGCGACCGCCCCCCCCCCCAAAAAAAACCAAGCCACCCAAGAGACCTCCGCCATAGTCTCTTTGGAGCGACCTGTCCGAGGAGCCCAGCACATGCCGCGAGAAACTTTTCAGGTACGTTTAAAAGGACCTCGTAGCAGTTTGATCATTTTGTCAACCATTTCCTCCCCACTAGATTTGTTATTTTCTGTTACTGAAAAGATATGGGCAAGTCATATTGCGAGCGCAATTGGGCACGTTACGCACGGCAGATCCTTTTCTCGAGTGTAATTATTGTTATCAGTGGTTACTTATCGCCGTGGGTCATTTTAGCTATTTAAAACAGCTAAAATGACCCATGTAGTTCAACACGGAAAATTATTTTCCGTGTTGAACTACAAAATGACCAATCAAGTTCCCACATTAGAAAATAAATGCGATTTTTGTGGCCCGATTTCTGTTTGACGTTTATTCGTCCGCTGTGAAGCGTATATTCCTGGTTACCAGGGCGCAGCTTCATGTCGGAAAGTACTTTAAAATGCTTGACTGTGCCATGGATGAGCATCACTTAACGCGCGCGCGCCCCGCAGGTCTCCATGCGTCCTTGTTCTTAGCGCAAGATCGGCGCGACCATGACCATCCATGTCGAGGGGCTTGTGGCCATCGCGCTCTTCTACCTGCTCATCCTCTTTGTGGGCATCTGGGCGGCATGGAAGAACAAACACTCCGGGGAGGCCGAGGGGACGGACCGCAGCGAAACCATCATGGTCGGAGGCAGAGACATCGGATTGTTCGTCGGAGGATTTACAATGACTGGTAAATCGGCTGCGCGCCTTCGCACAATCGCAAATGACTGATTCCGTGGAGTTGCTGTGTCAGTCTACACTTCAAAAGTTGCCTTTCAGTTTTGCTTAACATCGCTTTGCCTCTTCCCGGACACTTTATTAAATACACCTAAGCTCATTGCAATTGTTGTTGACGTGTTCATTTTTTTCTTGAAGTATCCAAAATAGTACAGGTTTAATGGTTTGTCGGATATCGGCAATCAAATCTATTTTTTAAAAAATGAGTCGGTGTTTATTGCATGCCATGCATGTATTGAACAAGTAATGCTTCTCATCAAAAATATCATTGCCTTTGTAAAAGCAGATGTGGAGTGGAGAAAATTTTAAACCAGACGTGCAGGTGTACTGAATGTACAATCTGTGTGGAAGACCGACAGGCAAAATGTCCTAATACGCCCTGCGATGCAAGTTCTGAAGATGGATGATTAGTTTTTTTTTTGTTCTTGATATTTTCAGCAACTTGGGTTGGTGGAGGATACATTAATGGCACAGCCGAGTACGTTTACCTGCCAGATTACGGCTTGGCTTGGGCACAAGCCCCCTTTGGATATGCCCTCAGTCTTGTTGTCGGTGAGTGAGGCTACCTGCACGTATTTTCTGTCGTCTTACCATTTGGACGAGTTGGGGGGCATGTTTTGGCATGCTTGCGTCCAACCACGCTTGCGGTCATCTATTATTTTGTTGATTTAACATCATTTTGAGATGTGCATTGAATAGCATGTATCAGTGTCAAGTGAGGCGCATACGTGCGGACTGACCAATCGGATTGATTTTTGAAGGAAAAAAAAAAATTACCAAATTGTAACGTAAGAGGTTTCAGCCCGATGGCAGTGAGATGGCATGACCGGTGAAAGCATGAACAGCTGTCCAATTATAGTTCAGTCTCTTCAAGTCTTCTTTTAAAACGCCTGACTATTTTGAACCATTTCTTCATTCATGGAATTCCTTGGAAATCATCTTTGTGTGAAAACATGAATTCTCTGTCTCATAGGAGGGCTCTTTTTCGCCAAGCCCATGCGCTCAAGAGGTTATGTAACCATGCTGGACCCGTTCCAGCAGCTATACGGCAAGCGCATGGGCGGCCTTCTCTTTATACCCGCATTAATGGGGGAGATCTTCTGGTCCGCCGCCATTTTGTCGGCTCTTGGTACGTTTACGGCTGCCTCGGTGTAGTTCATCATCGATGTCCCGTTGTCCCCTCACCGGCGTTTCTGACCGTAGGCGCCACGCTCAGCGTCATCGTGGACATCAACATCAAAATGTCGGTGGTAATATCGGCCCTCATCGCCATCTTTTACACGCTGGTGGGAGGACTTTACTCCGTGGCCTACACGGACGTTGTGCAGCTCTTCTGCATCTTTGTCGGCCTGGTAGGTACATTTTGAGAGAATGTGGGAAGGGAATAATCAATGATGAATATGAAATGAGTGAGTTATAATTTCGAAGATCTGGCATAGAAACAAATGACAAAAAAGATTATAAATATCACTCACCATTAGCTTCACTTGTTCGTATGCTACATTCCGACAAGTGTCACGACAGGAGTGACATTGTGCTCCTGTGTGAAGTCCTAAAACCTTGATGAGGAGGAAAGTTTTCGCCAGCCCACTCTCTTCGTTCGTTTTTGGACATAATCATCCGGTGACAAAGTGTCACTTGACTGGGTAAAGGTGCATGAATGTAGCTTCGCCTCATGTCGCTAGCTTGAGCTCGTCCGGTTGCTGCCCTTGTTCTATTCCACTGGTACTTGTGGGAATCGATGAAGGCGAGCAGCGATCAGGCAAGGTGAACCTAGCGACATGAGGCTAACCTCGATTCATGCACCTTTACCCAGTCAAGTGTGCGTCCGTCCTGTTTATTTGTCAACATCCTTTTCAGCTGGGTTGTTTTGGTGAGAAAAGTCTTTCGCTGTGAAACACTGTATGTACTTTTGGGCCACTTTCAGCATTTGTGGCTTTTGGATTAGCCCTGTTGGGCCAGTGTGCGAAGTTGAGAAGTGGCCACGACATCGCGATTTAGTGGCCACGGGCCATCAGGCCACTGGTCATGTCGAACCCTGTTCTTCTGCAGCACACTTATTGGACACTTCATTAGGTACACCAGCACTATGATGATGAGATTCTCTCTGTGAAACACCTGTCAGTTTAAGGCCCTTTTTCGCCATGGGAAACTACCCCCCCCCCCGCCATATATAAACAACTGTACACCTAATGCCATGACTGCTGTTTGAATATCGGGCAGAATGTCATGGGTTGTTCTATGTGTTTCCACCAACTGCTTTTCCACTTGCAGTGGATCAGCGTCCCATTTGCTCTGACCAACCCAGCCGTGTCAGACATCACGGTGACAGCAGTGAAGCATGTGTACCAGTCGCCATGGAGAGGCAGCGTCAACAGGAGTGACACCTGGGTCTGGATTGACAATTTTTGCCTCCTGGTACCGTGACCCACGCCCGCTTTTCGGTCGAATGATTCTGAGACTGCCCATCATGGTACCATTTCCGGAAGTATTTAATTTCATTTCATCGTTGTGTCATTTAACGGCAGATGCTGGGAGGCATTCCATGGCAGGTGTATTTCCAGCGAGTCTTGTCGGCTTCCTCGGCTACTTACGCACAAGTCCTGTCCTTTATCGCCGCTTTCGGATGCCTCGTCATGGCCGTTCCCTCCGTTCTCATCGGCGCTATCGGGGCCTCCACAGGTGAGGCCGATCGCACGCAAGCAGGCGCGTTTCTGAAATATGTTGTGTGCACGTCTGTGTGGGTGTGCGCGTATGGCCGTGTTTGTGTTCCTGATTGGTGTGCGCCGCTCAGGGTGGTCCCATGTTGCCTTTAGATCTGAGAGAGCTGAGTAAATAGCAGCTGGTTCCACTCATTTATAATGTAGCAGCCATCCGTTTTAAATGTGAACTCACTAAGAAGGCAAAGGGGATCAAATTAGCGGATCGCGCTCCAAGTTTTGGATTCTTCCGCGATAACTGGCCATTGAACTCGGCTTTTCCTGTCCTCATCGGAATCATTTTACCCGCGTTCAGAGTAACCCAAAGTCGTACTCATGTAAGAGTATTGTGACTTTGTAATATGACTTAAGTCAACGTAAAAAGGGCGGCCCAGTCGTCGAGTGGTTTGCACGTCGACTTCACAGTGCAGAGGTTGTGGGTTCAATTCCAGCTCCGGCCTTCCTGTGTGGAGTTTGCATGTTCTCCCCGTGCTTGTGTGGGTTTTCTCCGGGTACTCCGGTTTCCTCCCACATTCCAAAAACATGCATGGCAGGCTGATTGAACATTCTAAATTGTCCCGAGGTGTGATTATAAGCGCGAATGGTTTTTCATCTCTGTGTGCCCTGCAATTGGCTGGCACCCGGTTCAGGGTGTCCCCTGCCTACTGCCCGAAGACAGCTGGGATAGGCTCCTGCACCCCCCGCGACCCTTGGAAGGATAAAGTAGATCGGAAAATGGATGGATGAATGAATAAACCTAAAAAAATGAAATAACCTAAAACCAGAATACTCAAAGTAAAAACTTTGTCGCGTAAAAGTCACTCCGACAAGTACATTTGATCCAAAAGCAAAATAAATCAAACAGAGAAAATGAAACGTGTCACTCTCCAGCCCTGACTGTACTTTATATGATTGTATCTCCTCATCTTGAAGTCTTTTTTGGCATAACACTGTACAGTGCAAAATTATGGCAGCATGGTGGTTTTACAGTCAAGGCGACTGGACTGAGATAAATTCCTTTCATGCATCTGGCAGGGAATCAATTCGCGATGCCCAGGTTGTTGTCCGACTCCTCTCACTCTTCAACTGAATTTTGCGAGAAAAAAACAATGTTTTTGTTGTAAAAACATTTTAAAATAACACATGGCTTGATGTTATATGTTAATGAACTCCACTCAACTTTGTGAATAAGTGTGACGCCCGTCCCTCATCCAGACTGGAACCAAACCACATACGGCGCCGTTCCCCCCAAAGAGAAGGAAGAGGCCGATATGATCCTGCCCATCGTTCTCCAGCACCTCTGCCCGCCATTTGTGTCTTTTTTCGGCCTGGGTGCCGTGTCCGCTGCGGTCATGTCATCCGCCGACTCCTCCATCCTGTCGGCGAGCTCCATGTTTGCGAGGAACATCTACCAGCTGGCCTTCAGACAGTCGGTGAGCGCGTGCGCCCCATACTCGAAGCTCGGCGAAAACGTTGTCGTCGTAATCGGGCGTCCGTCCGCTCCCCCTTTTGGTCTCCGCAGGCATCGGATCGTGAGATCGTGTGGGTCATGCGCATCACCATCTTTGTGTTCGGCGGTCTCGCCACGTTGATGGCGCTGGTTACGGGCACAGTTTACGGGCTGTGGTACCTCAGCTCCGACTTGGTTTATGTCATCATCTTCCCGCAGCTCCTCAGCGTGCTCTTTGTCAAAGGCACCAACACGTACGGCTCGGTGGCCGCGTACTTGTTTGGCATGGTGCTGCGCATCGGCGGCGGGGAGCCCTACCTGCAACTGCCCCCTTTCATTTATTACCCCGGGTGGACCGTCGAGCAGCGCAAGCACCACATCACCGGCGAAACGGAGGATATTGTCATTCAAAAGTTTCCCTTTAAGACGGCCTCCATGCTGGCTTCTTTTCTGGGGAACGTCGTGTTTTCCTACCTGGCCAAGTACCTGTTTGAGAGCGGCAAGCTGTCTCATAAATACGACTTTCTCGACGCCGTCGTGTCCAAGCACAGCGGGGAGATTATGGATAAGACCACGCTGGTGGCCCGTGGCAACAACATCGGGCTGTCCGAGATGGCGCCTGTCAAACCGCGGCTGAGCGTGACCTTGGCGGCCGCCTTCACGCGCCGTGACACGCTGCCGACGGACACCGTGGAGGAGGAAGAGGAGGAGTCCAGCCCTGACTCCTCCCACCACGACGAAGAATGAAAAAGAGCAGGATGTGGTTTTTCAGAAGACGGCGAGAGAACCGATCCGGCTGGCGATCGAAAAGAAGACAATGAGCAAACGTCCTCCCCAAGGGACCATGAGGTACAACACTGACTGACTGGAACTGGGACACTAGCGTCATTTCCACAAGCAATATATTCCACAAGATTCGCTGAAAATCATTAACACACGTTCAAACTTTTATTTTCCAGTCATTGCATCAATACTGGCTCTCGACACAATACATGCACTCTCCATCACCAGTCCTAATACAATATAGCGTACTCCACACTCCACTACCCCCCAAAAAAATGGATATCCATCCATCCATTTTCGGTACCCAAAGACAGCTAGGATAGGCTCCAGCACCCTCCGCGACCCTTGTGAGGATAAAGCGGATTAGACAGTGGCTGGATGGATGCATTTGCGATAAACAAGAAAGCGAACATTCAGAATAGAGAACTATATTCATTAATTAGACTTTTTTTTTTTTTTTAACATTTTATTGTTTTCATATTGATGGACCTGACACTATTTGCAGTCCTGCTCAATACTAGTGTGAAAATGCTCATCAAGCACATCAAAAACACTTTCACAAACTCTCCCGGACGTTAGATGTTCACTCATATCGGCGCTCCATTTCATCATCGGCTTCTCTTTCTGTTCACAATCAGACAACGTCAAACGGCACAAGCATGAAGAAGACACGAAACCGTTTTCGTTTGACAGCACAAGTTTTACTTGGCAAATAAAATCGCCTGACGCCGGTCAAACCTGACAAGTCCTTGAAGATGTGACGCGAGGGCTACCGATGCCACATCCTGAACCAGGAATATATGATATTCCAATTTATCATGACAACAAAAGCACGGCGTCAGCATCTGAGTCAAAGATGAGTTTGAAGGGGAACTTTCTGACCCGAAATCTCCCTCAGCCTTGCTGCCATCCATTCAATCGACATTTCTTGGTATATAACGCTACTGAATGCAAATTATCACGTTAAAATCAAACAAGTACTAAACACACACCCCCACCACCCTAACGGATTTTGTTCCTACTGATATAAAGCGATCATGACTGCGAATCAACAGGCAAGCCATCCACAAAGCTTCATAGAACTTAGACAAGCAATCGTGAAAATAGTTGACTTCAAGCATCGCAGTAGTTCTCTTTCAGAAGCGGATTTTGCGCGAAGCATCGACGCGAAAAATGACACTTTTTATTCTGCTGCCTTAATGTAAATCATGTGAAGAGACGTGTGGATTTCCACAGGCCTGACTGTAGAAAAAAAAAATATCCACGTGAATATGAATGTAATCTCAAATCATCTCGTTATATATACTGTATATATCAAAAAAAGAGTAATTTGCTGTTTGTGCATTTTATTTTTGCAAGTCTTATTGTTGCAGAATAGTGTGTCAGTCATTTTTGAATTACGAAACTGTAATGTGTGTGTTGTTCATGGCCTTGTACAGATGATTTTTCTCTGTGATGTGTGTGTTTGTATAAATATGGGGACAAAAGCATAGAAATAACAAATTGCTAATTATGTAAGAAGGAAGGATGTTATCTAAATGTTTATTTATTTTTGTTGTCATAGCAGATGTCACAATAAATAAATGTAACATTGTAATGTAAAAGAAATATATAAAATCTACTTTGGAATAGCAAATTGTGATTCTTAGTAATATTTTGAAGTGGCAATATTTTTAGTTGAATGTTTTTTCTTTTTTTTTGTTGAAACTATTTTATTCTACATAGAAAAAAGGGTGTGATGAATTTACTCCATTTCATTTTGTGGTTGCACAAAATAAAATCATCTGGATCCAGATACAACTTTTAAGTCGATGTATAGTCTAAATAAAAATGTATCGGCATCAAGATGATTTTATTTCATGCAACCACTTGATGAAATAAAATTGGGTAAATTCAAGCCCATCCAATTTTTTTTGAGGTACAATATCTTGTTTAGACACAAGATATTTGTTGAATTTCCTCTCAATTTTATTTTGTCAAAACCATCTGGCTCCAGCTACATATTGTTTTCAATATCTACTTGAAAATGTAACTGGATCCCGATGATTTTGGACTGGATGAAATAAAATGGAGTGAATTCAGCACAGCATTTTTTTTTCTTCTTTTCTGTGTAGTTTCTTAACAGCATCTTACGTCAGGGCTTTCTTTTCTACGGGCCCCTTCGGCCATTTTGTTGAAAGACACAGAGAACATGTCTGAAAACGTGAGTGAAATTACGATCGCTCGGGTAGCGTCTTTGTCCCCACCCGTGGCCATCGTGAAAGGCGACGTCTTAAAATAGCTCTGCCTCCCCGGTTATTTACATTACCTTAAGTGCTGTACTCCCGTCTTGGACTGGAGCGGGAGCCGCTCGGGTTGGGCGGGGTTGCTGGTGGTCACTTGTGGTTGACTTGGATGCGGGGCGTGTACGATCTCCATCGACAGTAATGCGCAGGGATGACGCGTGTGCCCCACCCATCCCTTGCACCTCCTCCTTTGTCCTAAATGTCCTTGTTTTGTGTCCTTGAGAACTAAGATCAATTCCATAAAATGGACAGGATGGCGGGCGGGGGCGGGGGGAGAACATCCCAGCTCCATCCGTAGTGGGGGCCTCACCGAGCACTCTCGCTAATGAACAATTATGACGGAAAAAACTATCGCCTGCCTGAGTCAATCCATTTATTTTGTGCTTTACTTTACAAAGGGGAGATGGTTGGGGGACGGTTTGACGTCGGACTCTGACGAAGAGACCGTTTGGATCGGAACCAAAAGAGTCATTCATTGGTGAGGACTGGCTATATTTAGAATGTCCTCCAGCATTTTTCTTGAAGTCATTGGATGGGTGATCGAAGCAGATTTTTGGTCTTCAAATTTTGCTGTTCAGCATTGAACAACGGATTTGCCCATCGAGTCCGGCTGAGCTTTAAAACCAGGATGCACACTGGTTGAAGCCACCATACTGCGGTTGAAAAAAATAATATTTTCTGCTTGTCTTTCCAGCTGTTCGAGTACATTTTCTCTCACAGCTAGTTTCACAAACGCATATCAAATTTGTCACCTGATGATCAAAACAACTCATGAAGGTTGCTCTGATGTTATTCTCTATGCTGCTCACAGCCCCCTTGGTTGTAGGCACACTTTCATGGCATCCCGGAATTGCCCGGATGGGCCAAATGCTGAATTTTAGTCTTCTGTAAATGGCTCCCGTTGTGATGAAACTTTCACTTTCAACTGCAGTTTTTTGTTATTTTTTTGTCTACAGCAGCGGTCCCCAACCACCGGCCCATTTGGTACCGGGCTGCACAGAAATGCGCCAATCGAAGTCCCCCTTCGAACATTGCTTTGCAAGTTAAAATAAACAGAATGCACCATAAATGAAAGAAGAAGCAGTAAACAGAAAGTAATATTCACATAATTGACCGAACATATGGCTAAAACGTGCAGCTGCAGGGCAGCCATGATTTCCGAAGATGAAGCTACTGTATTTGGACAAGAGCCCCCCCACCACCTCGCGGGGTTTCTTTAGAGCTTCGCGTGAAAGGAAGCTGTTGGGCGGGGTATGTCGTCAAAAACAAGGCAATCGAAGAAACCTGCTAAATCGCCGTTTTGTTGTCAATACCTGTGCTTTAAAATGTACAATTTAAAAGCAATTAAAAAAAATGGTTGCCGGTCTGTGAACAGCACATACTTGCCTCAATTGGACCGTGACACAAAAAAGGTTGGGGACCACTTTATCCATTCGTCAATTTTCTATTATCCCATTCAGGGTCACATGGGAGATGGAAACTATGCCAGCTGACTGAAGTGGTACACCCTGGACTCATTGCCAGTGAATTTACAACCCGTGGTACCTGGGAGTAACCCACACAATCTCATGGAGAATATTATCGAGCCTCCAGGTTTGAGTCTGAGGCAACCCCTGTGCTTGATCAATGACCACTTCTGGGTTGTGCCCCAAAGTCAGCTCGGGTAGGCTATGGTGACCTCGTCTCTCAAGGAAGATAAGAGATATGTCAAGTCGAACTAGTGTTGTCTTGAAAATAGAGATGCTCCATTAAGAAATGTCATCCACTTACGGTATGTCTCATGCTTGCGTAACTCATATCGAGAACACATTGCACACTTGCCAGTTGAATTGCCCTTTTTTTTTTTCTTTATCTAATCCGATAGGTGCGTAAACCATGCGTGGACATTTTAAGAATACTTCAGTTATTTATTGCATCCCCCCAGTTCAAGTTAGACTTTAAAATTGCAACCTTTCCTTCGCCTCCCTTTTTTTTCATATCTCAGTGGATTCCAGAGAACAGGTCTGTTCCTTGAACATGACTGATTGATTTCCAGATCAAAGAGATTCCATTCTCTATCTTATCTGGTGCTTCGCTATCATGATGACCGATGCGTATTCGTGCCCTTTTATTTTGCTCATGTACCGTAATGTCCTCTCTAATTAAATTGCAAATCTGATGCTGGAAACAGTTAGCGAATGAGGTAAAAACAAGTCAGAAATATGTCACGCGTGAAAGATGAAAGATGGTAGTGAGGATTCCAAAGAGTAAATGTTGCAGAAAGCCAAGGGTTTTATAAAAGCGACACTGTTTGACAAATCAGCACATGGATCACACGGCACGACATACTGCCATGTCTTATTGGTTCCCATATATCTCTCCATCTCCGCCATTAGCCTCTCCAAGCAGCTGAGCAGAATCGTGAGCCAAATGAATGTAGCGGCTTCTCTAATGAAATCAGCCGGGAGAACCTAATTATCCACCCGGCCTCAGAACCACTCAGACTGGCTGCAGGTAGACTGACTGGAGCTCAGCAGGCAAGCACGTCAATTGCTGTCCAATCGGTGAGGCGTCGCTTGCAGATTGAGTCAAAGGCGGAATCGGCATCACCGATTTTCTTACGTTTTATTTCACATTTTGGTTGAGTTTGAACCCTACATGTCGCATAGATGGCTAGAATTATGGGCAGGCAAGTTTTATTTGGAGCATGTTCCCATTTGTGTGTTGATAAGAGATCTTGTTCACTGTATAAAAAAAATAAATGAATATATACATACATAAATAATTGGGTGAACTCAAAATTTCAATGCGCCAAACTGATATTTTACATCGTGCAATTGAAAGGGGTTTTTGTTGTGCTGTTTATTTATTTATTATTTTTTTTTATGCCGTGAATGTCAATAATTTTCCCTTGGAAGCTGTTGCAACTTAAAAAGTAAAACAGTCTACTTACTGACTTTTTTATTTTATTTTTTTTAACGGTCACTTACATTTTTGTTTGTAAATCAGTTGACAATCTAAAACCGTAATTGACCATACCTTCCCGTGATGTGCTTTCTTCACTTTATCGGTGGAATGCTTGACAATAACATGAGCTTTCTTACACGTACAGCTCAGAGTAGACATTCCATCTTCGAATTCCTTTCCTGTCTGAAATTCTCAACCATTTCTGACATGCAAGAACAGAAATGGTTTCCTGTAATGCTGTGCTAGCCCGCTTCCCTGATTTTGTGTGTTGCCACCAAGGGAAGGTCTTGTCAACTTCCTCACAGCGCGGTGCTTTTATAAAGACAGAAAGGATGGATGGAGTTTTTTTTTTTTTTTAACCCTGCCCATAGAAATGTAGCGGGGAGAATAATATAGGGACCACACACACATACAATAGCACATATTAGCCCCTGGGGATCGGTTTGCTCTCAAATGGAAGCTGAGAGGAGCACGATGGATGGGACCCATGTGAACCCTTCACATTTGTACGCGCACGGAATGCAGTGGGGGAAGTAAAGATCGGATGTTTATAATAGCATTTTCATTTTTAAGGGACACGGCATCATTGTAAACGTATCAAATGTTCTTTAGTTGTACTCTAAATTTGTATTTTACACGGCGGATGGGACTGCAGCAAATGGGAGAAAGAATGGAGGAAGTAGTGGGATGGTCATCACACCTCTTTACTCATCACGACGCATCGTGGCCACCAACCACACCCTGTTCTGAGTGTGTGTGTATGTGTGTGTGTGTGTGCGTGTGTGTGTGTGTGTGTGTGTGTGTGTGTGTGTTGTCATCCTAACCTTCTTTGAGGGTAACGTCTGTACCCTTGTGCTCCTCAATCAGCCCTAATGGATCCTCTGGCTCAGATTCAGATGGAGCACTGATTATGATACTAAAGACACGCACACACACACACACACACACACACACACACACACACACACACACACACACACACACACACACGCACACACACGCACACACACGCACACACAAGCCCAGTCGATGACATGCTTGGAAGGTGGAGCCACACTCAAGAATTTATTGGTCTCAGCTTTTGGCTGGCTGCATGATGATGATGATGATGATGATGATGTTGTGCGCGCTGGTGCATGTGTGTGTGTCCGTGTGCATGTAAGCCCAAGAGCAACTCTAGGAAGAAAATCCATTGATTTTGCAACTAGGGGGAAAAAAAAACATTTTTCATCATCAAACATTACCCGTGACAAGAAGGAAAACCTGAGTAAATAAAGCCACTATTTGAACATGAACGGTGCAGCAACATATGTAGATCAACAATATAGCAATTGTCCACAGCCATATGTTCTTTATCCTCTGTGGAAAAGAACTACTGCTGCATTTTACTCAATCACGAGAGTTGTGAAACTCTACTTCTTTGTGTCTGCATGACTGTATTATACTGCCCCCGGTGGCCAAGTCACACACAACAGATGGAGTCACAATGATTTAATCATGATGAACAATCTTTGAATTTTTTTACATTCTCATTATTATGTTGTTACTAAATGTTTTTATAATTTACTTATTAAGAAGCACATTACAAAAAAAAATGTTGAATCTTTTGGAGAGTCCGGACAGTCGGAAATGGGACTTTTATTCATTTCAAAGGGAATAGAGAATTTAAGTGTTTTGAGTTACGGTGTGTGGTACAGTATTGGTACAAATACCACATGACTTCTACAGATTCGATTCGCACCGAGTGAAATATTTAAGTAATTTGATGATTGTCACATACTGCAAACAAAATAAACAAAATCATCAAGAGATTGAATCATAACATCGGAAACAATCAAATTATTATTATTTATTTATTTAGTTCATGTCAAAACTGGGGAGGCCTTGGCCTTCTGAAAAGTAATGACTCCACATAAAGTATGACTTTTATTTTCTGGTGAAATTCTGAAATGAACTGTTCCATGATTTTCTTCTTTCTCGAGATGCGCCGTCCTGCGTGTAACGTTTAAGATGTGAGAGCCGAGAAAAGAAGCAGCACTGCGATGATGGAATGAGGACCGTAAAGAGCACAGAGCTTGTTGGAGAGCTCACACTCCAGTAAACTGCAGACTGACAGGGTTTGACGGGGAGTCGCATCAGAGAGGAGGGCGGGTCGCAGGAATGTCAACATTTCACACACGCGCACACCACAACCTGCACACTAATAAAATTCAGTTGCTGAACATGCCCACACACACACATAAACACACACACACGCGCACACACACACACACACACACACACACACACACACACACACACACACACGATTAAAAATTGCAATTGCCAGTGAGTCCACATGAATTTCTGTGCGATGCTGTAGTTTCTGGTCGTTTGTGCCTACTGTATGTGTGGCCTGCGACTGGCTGGCGACCGGTTCAAGGTGTAGTCGCTCTTCTGCCCGAAGTCAGCTGGGATAGGCTCCAGTAATTCCCCGCCACCCCTTTGCAGCCTGGTGGTTGACCGCTTTAACGCGTCAAACTCACAATACAGAGGTGCAGGGTTTGATTCCGGCTCTGGCCTTCCTGTGTGGAGTTTGCATCTTCTCCCTGTACCTGCGTGGGTTTTCTCCGGGTGCAAGGTATATTTTACCTTATTCTGTCACATTTTTTGAAACGGTGCTGTTGACCTCTTGGCCAGGTCACCCTTGTAAAGGAGATCCTGATCTCCCTGGGTTGGTATCTGGTTAAAACGGTGAAATAAAATCAATGATTGATTTGATATGACTGCTGAAAGTCCCATCTCAATCTATCAGCACACCCAGGTTTTGAACTGGCTCTGTGGTTTTGAAAGACAGTAGCAACGAGTGTAAAACACGGTAGACAGAGTCCTCAGATATAACAAACATTAAAAGAGAAATCGAGCAGTTATTTGGGCTAAAACGGGAAGGGCACCAATTCAGATACAATGGCAGACATCTCTCTATTTATGCTATTCTATTTCTCTTCACCTTAAAATTGTAATTGGCACCCTGCTACTTTCATCCAATTATCCTTTGCCAGTCTGCGAGAGAGAAAAAAAAGTGACCTTTAAAGGGGACTTGCCATGCACACAATGGCTCGTGTGTATTGGGGAGTTAATAATTCACCGTTCCTTCAAGCTCCGGCAAATTGAAAATTACGAGTTTTTGTATTGCTTGATTTGCTGCTGTGAAGTTTGAGTTTGTGTTAAGCTGTGGTGAACTACAAACGATGATTCTTTCTTATGACTGTACTGTATGTACTTCACAAGATGTACTTTGCATTTATGGTGCACCTTCGCCAATTTTCCACTAGATGTCAGTACAATGCAGTGATGATGACAGTACGGTCATCATTTCAAAAAACATGACATAAATACATTGTACAGTATTTGGTTGTGGTCCTTGGGGGAAACTCCGAACTGTAACGAAACCTTTGACCGAGTTAGTCAGACGAAGTTAATTTTGTAATTTTCAAACGAAATGTATTATGTGAAATTAGTAAAAATGGGTTATTTTGAAACTGGAAATTTTGAAAAACGAGTATTTGGTCTCTTTCTTGAAGTGGCATCAATATTTTCAAAATGACAGAAAATGGGAAACGTATAGGATAACCAACTACTATATGTACAACTCCGGAACCTCATGAAATGAGACACCTATCAAAAATGATATGACGAAAATGTGACAAAAACGAAGAATACTGTACTGAAACAATAATGAAGCTGTCTCAATCCACTCACAAAATTACAGTGTAAATCTGGGCCTGTTGAATTGAACACAAAGCTGATATTGTAGGAAACCACGACTTATTCTGTTGTATGAGTGGCAACAGGTGGCTACACAGGTTTATTTTGCTTATTCTGGGTATGGGAGCGCATTTTATTCTTATGACTGGCTGATATAACGCCACTGACATATAGCGTTATATATAATGTAATTAGCCGCTCAAGTTGGGGAGTCACTGGATAACAACAGAAAGTGTTAGGAAAACAAAACTAAACAACAGTAGTCAAAAACAGTTTTTAAATATTTTAAATCAGAGATGCAAGTAAACTTTTGTTTACATTAAAATGTGCTTTTGACTACGCGGTGTAATTTATTAAACACATTGATAGCGTCACTTTTTTTTTTTTTTTTTACACTGAAGGCGAGTTTTGGTGGTTGGAGAGAGTCATTCAACGCAGCATAAACTCCCACTTAACAGTTAAAAGCGATGTTGGCTCTCTTGCGGTTCTCCTCCCACTCAGCCAAACCCACATAAAGCACTTGTCAAAATTGGGAACGGGACCCAATTTATCTCGCCCTCAACGACCACGAGCAGCGATGGCAGACACGGAGAGCCACGGTTCGACTTTCCCCGACATCGTGGAGCTCAACGTGGGCGGTCAGGTGTACGTGACCCGGCTCGAGACCCTCACGGCGGTGCCCGACTCCCTGCTGTGGGCCAAGTTCAGCCAAAGTTCCCCGGACGAGCTCCCGAAGGACGGCAAGGGTCGCTTCTTTTTCGACCGAGACGGCTTTCTGTTCCGCTACATTTTGGACTACTTGCGGGACTCGGAGCTCTTCTTGCCCGAGTTCTTCAAGGAGAGAAGGCGGTTGCAGAAGGAGGCAGACTTCTTCCGGCTCCCGGAGCTGTCGAGGCGCCTGGCGGCCCCCAGCAAGGAGACCTCCCCCACGGAGGACGGCGGGGAGCCGGAGGAGGCTGAGCTCGCCAGCCCTACCACCACCACCACCACCACCACCCCATCCTCGTCGTCGGACAGAACCCTGCGCTCGCCCGGGTCCGGCGCGGGCTACATCACGGTGGGCTACCGGGGCAGCTACACCATCGGCAGGGACATCCAGGCGGACGCCAAATTCCGCCGAGTGGCCCGGATAACCGTGTGCAGCAAGATCGGCCTCGCCAAAGAAGTGTTTGGGGAAACGCTGAATGAGAGCCGAGACCCGGATCGAACCCCGGACAAGTACACGTCCAGGTACTACCTGAAGTACAACTTCCTGGAGCAGGCGTTCGACCGTCTGGCCGAGGCCGGCTTCCACATGGTGGCCTGCAACTCCACCGGGACGTGCTCGTACGCCAGCAGCGACCCGGGGGAGGACAAAGTGTGGACCAGCTACACCGAGTACGTTTTCAGTCGGTGAACTTGTGAGCCAAGTGCCAGTTCGTGACTTCTTTTTGCAGTGTTTCACTTATAATTGTCGTGTTTTATGGGTACACTTTGGAACCAAAGTGGGGGTTGATTTCCTTATTTGTGTATACTTTGTAAACTAGGAAAGAGTGCCGATGGGGTTCAGAGAGAGCAGGAGTCAGTCAGTTCTTTAGATTAGAAAATACTTCTCGGGTAGTCAATAAATATCCTTATGCAACACTTTATTTCTGTAACTCTCAGTTTGTGCTTACTTCTACAACATTCCTTGAAAATAACGTCCCATCACTGGCGGCTATTTTTTAGAACGGGGCCACAGGCTCCATATGTTGGTGGGTCATTGCTCTAGAGTCTAGAGCAAGGACATAAAGTGTAGGACATGAATATCGTCATGTAAATATGATGTTTGGTGTTTAAACGTACATAATCATACATGTGTTATTTTTAAAACAACGTTCTCGGTGATACTACTATTAATACACGTCTTGATTTTGGAAATTGTTTTGGGAATAATTGTAATCTTTTGTTGTGTAGCTGATACATATGTGAAAGAAAAAGGAATGTTTATCATACAACTAACTAACTGAAGTAAAACGTTTTCACTGCAAGAATAATATTCAAAACTGGCAGTCAGATTGGCTGACTGATTCTCAGATTTTTTAAGAAAGCCAAAATAGGCTGTGATATCTACTGTATGATCTGTACTGTATATATTTAACCATATTAAAGAAAATGTGACATGGCAATGCATCCTGTACCGCTCTCTTGTGTTCACTGTTACTATTTGAAAACTGGCATTCAAAGCCATTCATGGCACACCACCATCAAGTAACATTTCGCAGATTAATTTGGTCTATGAAATGATGTAATCTGCACACTCTGGTGCTATTGACGTGATGTCCGCTTGTGTTAGTAGCGTGGAGGAAGCCACCCCTGACAACTGTTGAATGATCTTGCGGTTGCAACTGTAACTGAACCTTACGCCATCAGGTTATGTGCCGAAACGGGCTCTATCGTTAATGTCACACGAGCACCCGTCCAGACATTTAAAATAAATGCAAAGTAACACTGTTTGTTCCCTCTGCACACGGTGAATTGACCCCACATTTCGACTGCAGCTCCTCTGACCCAACCAACTGAAAACACAACCTACTCGAGTAAGAGCAACTGTTTCCCATCACAAAGAGCTCATTTATTTCCCTGGGCCGAAAAGCAAGATGGAGGAAGATCAGGGGATTTCTCTTGAACAAATCAAAAGTCTCTTCTCTTCTGTGATCACGCAAATTCAAGCCATGACCAAATATGTGCCGATACACAACATGAGCTCAGTAAACATTTTCAAACAATCCCAAATGTCCAGAAATCACCACCACACATAAACTGCAAATCTATAATGTCCACTCGAAAGGCAACGCTCCCTCCTACACAAAGAGCGGCGTCTACACGAGCGAGATCGAATCGGCTGTCATCTGACCCAACCATCTGTGCCGGAAATAGGAAGGCTGACTGTGACTTTTGAGACGTCTTTACACAAAGGACATGCTGCTCCAGAACCAGAACAGTCAACTGAAACGATACAAAATCCAAAATGCATGCAAGATTCGCTTTTCACTCAAGGCGAAAAAAGCAAATCAAAAGGAACGCCCAGAGACGAGATCAAAAGATTTGCATCCTTTTCGAGGGGGTCACGAGTGAACATTCATCAGTCTGTGACGTTTCAAACTTCAAAAACATATTCAACGCATCGTTGGACGTGTCCATAAGAAAATGGTGAAAACGAACATGCACACAGCCACCACTCACTGGTAGAGGAGGAGGAGAAGTGAGCCAAGACCATTTGCAGATTTGTTGGCATTCTTCGAATCAGCTTCTATGGGAACTAAATTTTTCACACTTTTTCTCTCACATCCTCTGCCGCTAGCTAACTGTAATTCTGTTTCATTTTCATACCTTGCGCATCGCCTCTGACATTCAGGCATAACGGCGCTTGGTGTTCACAATAGCCCCGATGCATTGGCTCTTTGTTTAAATCAGACGCAATAACAGAGAATGAAATATGAAGGCCCCTTGGCGACGGCAGAAAAACCTTTCCCCCTGTTATTTCAACCGTCTCGCTCGTTCCCACCGTTTCCATTAGCGCCATCAAGTTTTATTAATGTGCGTCTGGCCATTCTCAAACTCGAACTGGGAAACACAAGACGGACACATTAGTTACTTTTGTTTTTCTTCGGCGCTTCTTTTTAAACGTACTAGCAAGCAATGCGACAATGGAGCTTGGTCGAGTCCAGGAAAACGTCCGCTCAAGCAAAAGCCCGGGCAATTGTGAAGGGTTGAGTGGCGGTTTGTAATTCGGAAAGACTAAGTTGAGGGGTTCGTTGTTAATGAATGGATGGCTCTACTTTAAGAAACGGCACAAGGAGAGATGGACTTCGTTTGAACGCAGCTTTATTTCAAAACCCATCACTTCCTGCTTTCCGTTTCTTCAGCCAATCAGAAGCTATCAACATAAAAACATGGCTCAGCAATTATTAAACAACAGAATGTAATTTAGGTAATCTCGACATGAAATAATATGATGCTCTAACAAAAAATGATAATTAATAAAATAACATAAGCTTGGAAGTGTGATAGGTCATCCAGGGCCAAATACGAAGTTGTGAACAAACACAAAATATGACCAAAATGCTAGCACCTAGCTAAGATAATAATAATAATGAAAAAGCAGAGATGGGCATTATGGTATAAATAAGGATGGAGGGACAATGACGGAAGCGTACCCAGGTCGCGGACGGGGGTAAAGTGCACATCTCTGTCAAAAAACGACAGTCCACATTTGCAAATAAAGTTAATTAGCATTTTGTCGTTGTTCAAGAATTCAAAATGGCATCCGTTCCAAAAGGTTGAAATAGCAGACTTGCCTACGTTTTAAAGTGACGCTTGCCGATCCTTTCTCCGCCATGCTCCTTAAAAGCACTCAGAATTGTTTTTAAATTAGTTCACCAAAGGTCCACAATGATCTTGATGAATCATTTTGAGTTCACATTTGAACATATCATACAAAATGTTACATTTCTACACTATATGTATTTTTTTTTTCACAAGAGTTTGCAGCCAGTGTGTCATGCTAGCGTCTCGTGAGCAGAAGAGTATAATTCAAAAGCTTTCAGTGTAATTTATTTTTATTTTTTTTTTTTAAAGAAAAAATGTTTCTCCATTCTGCCGCTGTCAATGGCCATTTGTGTCGGCCATAACCGCATCTTGGAAGAGATATTTGTAAGATTGGCTTCCATGAATAATCCATGAGTGTCACAAGGTTAGAAACATGTCCGCAGACTTTAAGAATAATCTGTTGATGTTTTGTCTAGACAGCCAATATTCAGAATGAGTTCTTTCTTTGACCTTTCTTGTGTGTTATCCTGAATGGAATTGCATTCAATCTGGTGATAGTCGGTCGTGCCGTGGTTTCCTGGCCTTCAAGTCCTGTTCAAACTGAAATCGCGCATCATCTCATTACTTGTCCCCTCCAGTGAAATATTTGGATTGAGTGAATAGATTTGGATTCAAGTGTGGTTAATCATTGAGTTGAAGACACTAAATTCCATTGTCCATTCATTCATTTCCAGATGACATTTTCTCATGAGGGTTGTGCTGAGCCGGAACCTATCCCAGTTGACTTTTCCAGCAAATCTATTCCAGCAAATATCCGGCCTAGCCAACAGATACTGTAGCTGCGCGAGAGCCACTCAAACAATGCTGAAGGTATGCAAGTGCTACAATCAGACAGCTTTGTTATCATCGTAATGGATAAACTTCACTTTTTTTTTTTTTTGGCCCAACTTCCTCTTCACAAATGAGAAGCGATGCAGCTTTTTTGAGGCCGCGCTGTACAGCCACATTTCTATAGACATAGAAAGTGAAAAACGAGAAGTCCACGTCGGATATTTTGCTGCAGAACCACGAAACGACTAATGCGGACATTGCGATTTCCTGCTGTGACTTACGAGAGCTATTCTTGTGAAACATGAATGAGGACCATCGGTGGACTATTCTAGCATGAGAGTAATCCCCAGATTTCATCCAAATATTAGCCAAGGGAATGTGAATTGTCACTCGAGGCATGACGCAATCGGAAGGTTTGAAAAGTTATTTGAGGCAAAGACACAAGATCGTCACGCTGTAGCTTTTCTGACCACAACCATAAATTCGAATATATCAGAGCCAACTCGTGATTGGACTGAGAAAAAAAAAAAAAAACACCCCGCCATCATCAATGATTATCAGCACGAATTGGCATCAACAAGCTGATTGAAGCGCCGCCATGCCCGCAGCTCGTATCCCTGCAACTTAAGGCAGCTGCTTTGCCTTGTATTTATCCTGAGTCGAGAAGGGTAAATGCTGCCAGTCTCCGCTGAGCTGCTCTCGGCACGCAGCGGCAAACCGGAGATTGGTGCGGCTTCCAGTGGCAAAGCTGAGCCTTACACGATACTGGTAAAGCGTGAAGTGAAAGGCTGCCAGCCCTCCTCAGCAGCGGGGAACAGAGAGGAAGAGAAGGAACATCCTCCTCCCCTGCTGCGGCTGCCTGGGCTTCCTCTTCACACCAAGTGCCCCCGCACCCCCCACCCCTCCATACTCCCATCAACCTCCCGCATACTGTCACAGCTTTCTGAAAGGGCAAGACATGAAGGAAGCTGATTCGAAACCCATCACTGATCTCACCATCCTGTGTGTGTGTGTGTTTGTCAAAGCTGAAGACATTTTTCAGTTCGACAAAAATACCACAATTATTTTACATGTTTGGGGATGTCAATCATATGCGCTAAACCAGGGTCGGGCAAACGCGGGGCCTTGACTATTAAAAAAAAAACAAAAACAAAAAAAAAACAAAACAAAAAAAAAAACCAAAAAAATTTATTGATTAATTTTTACAAATCAAAATCATTCTTCAAAACACAATGATAATCACGTATTGCATGGTTCCCGTGAAACTTGAGTGATCCAAAGATATGAAAAAATATCCAGCAAAATATGGCAAAGAAAATTGGAAAAAAAAATCAGTGGACATGCAAATCTGCTGCTGCCAAACTGCAAACATGCAGGGGTAATTTTTAAGTTGTAATATGACCAATCACCACTAGAAGGCAGACACGCTTACATTGGGTCCTTGTTGTTGGGTTAGGATAATGAACCTTTAATACTTGCATTGACAAATGTATTATCATAAGATATATTAAGAGCACCTATTTTGCACATATGCACGCATTTTGTCGATTTTGAAAATTGTATTTGCGTCCTGCACCTCGTTTTGAAGTGCGTGGTCCTTCGTGGCCTCCTCCAACATTTCAATGGCCCACCCCTGCTCTGAACATTGTGGTCTTCATCAAAGTGTGCTAGCATTTGTTTTATTGAAAAAAAAAAAGAAGAAAAAAGCTCTGCCAGCTGATATGGTCTGAAAATGAAAGTATTTGTTTGATGCACACTTGTGCCAGTGGAGAAAGTAGTACAAGATAAAACATAATTGGTTGCTTAGTACTATTCAGAGAACACAGAATATTTTTTCAAGTGCCAAATTAAAAAAAAAAAAAAAAGATGTGGACATTTTTTGTGATCTTTGCCAAAATATTACGGCTCATGTATCCACCGCTTTAGAAAGTTTTGTGGAATTTGGTGAAGCAGTTTTTGCACACTCCCGCGCACCCACTAAAACGTACTCCCTCCACCGCTCGCCAGATAAAATCGACATTTTGTTGCCTCACGAATAAACCCAACATCGTTTTTGCCACACAGATATTATACGTGATCATTAGGATGGCATCTATTAACTCACAAAAGGAGGCAAATGAAAATGCTGCCTTTTCTTCCCATCTAAATGTCACCCGTGACAAACAGCTTCTGGGAAATGTTTAGCAGAGATGTTCCACTGTAAGGACGCTTGCCAGATATGTCCTGACTCCACACCGCTTCCTGTCTTCCACGCTTTGGAGATGAAGTTGACACTGTGTAGTCATGCTAGACTGACACTTAACCACAGCAGACTTTTTCAATGCAGTAAAAAAACAAGCACAAAAAAAAAACCATCTCTTTTTGATACTTTCCCTCCCCCCCATTATTTCCATTTTAATGTGTCACTTAAATGTCATCATTTTATTTGCCCTCAAATGTCGGACGTATTGCAGGACCCAAGTTGGAAATGTTTGACTCAATTCTGCACTTTACAGAGTAGGTTTACTTTCTAAGACTTTCAAGACTTCCTAAACATGAGCTGCAGACATCGTACCATGGCACGAGATGGGGGAGGAAAAAAAATCGTCAAACATTTGCAAAGATAAAGACTTTCAAAAGGGAGGCCGGAGAAGGAAGGAGTCGGCACACAGATGATAAACCTTATAAGGCAAGTCAACGGTCACGCGTTTCTAGGGGGAGAAAAACATTTTTGTCGAAGAAAATAGTACTATTAAACAACTCTAAGGCCTCTCCCATGAAAATGAGATCAAACGTATCGGCCCATGGGATCTAACCGGGGGGAAGAGGAAAAAAAAAAAATTACTCTCAGGGTATTCAGCCAAAACAAAGGTCACCGCTGTGAGGTCACAAATCAAAACAAGCACACCAGTCCTGGAAACTATTCTCATCATGCTGAAGATGGGAACATATGGCTGACAGATCTCTCTCCATATTTCACGACTTGTTTTTCACCCATTAAAACATGTCCAGCTCACGGACTTTTAGCATTCGCAAAAGTAAGTACAGCCACAAGAGTATTGTCAGCGCCATTGCGAAGAGGTGCGTCCAAAATGTGATCATTGGAGATTGGTCACGTGGCACTGTCAGTGGTACGAGTTCACAATTTTCACCGTTGACATTGGTGTCCAACGTCTTTTAACATCAACCCAAAACACATTTTGAAGCTCGAATATATTGATGAAGCTCCAAAAAACAACATTATTTTGGGGCCAGTGAGTACATTTTCTTTTCTTATTTCCAACACATACTTGTCAGGAGTACACCAAAAACTAAAGAGCCAGCCCATCCTGAGCATCTGGAGCACATCTCCAGCCCATCCCCAGCAGACGCACACACAAAAAGTCGACTGCTCCCTTTGGGGAAACCACACGCCTCATTCTCTGAAGTGACTAGGTCATCATAAACTCTCGAAATGGTCATCTATCATTGTTTGCCCTTGTTCAACAGCCAAGTTTATGTAGAAATTGTCTCCAAGTCATTTCACTGGTGGGGTTAGTTCAAACTGGCTAATCTCAGGGAATATAGTTGTTATTACTATATTATAAACACATCTTAACGGTTTCATGCTGCTTTTGTGTGCAGTATGTATCCAACTTCATTCAGGTCAAGCGGTGAGCATATCGAGTCTATGGACAAAACTGATTATCACTGCCGTGTCACAGAATGAAAAACTCTACAATAGATTTGGAAAGCGCCGCAGAGCAGCACTTCCCCTATTTGTGCACCACAGACCCTAAAAAGTCTTCCGTCTTCCATCTTGCTTCACTTCCTGTTGAGAGACTCCCAGACTTTAAAACATGTGACACGCTTCGAAAATTGAGCAGAGCTGCATTCAGGGTATGCTCCTAACAGAAAAGGAGGCATTCTCGCACGTCTCAGGACTGTCGCTCATCAGCATCAATGTGTACATGCAATGCACCGTAAAGGCATTTAAGTATCGACTAGCCTATTACAATATAACAAAATCAGAATCAAAACGGCAACCTTTGGGTTTGGAAGACACCGTTCTGGATCCAAATATGGAGATCAGACAAAGGCTCTGAAATTAAAGCCAGAATTGTTCTCGTAATGTGCACCGAGGACACGGCTGATGGAAAAAAGGCAACCAAGTAAGGTTAACTCTCTAATACTTTTGGATATGATAATTTTAGAAATCAACACATACAATTAGAACTGAGTTCAACCTTTAAAACAAGACAAATTTCCATCACGCAGATCTTAGCGAAAAAGCAAACCAATTATATCCCGTATTTCCGCACTATAAGGCGCACCTATAAACCGACAGTGCGCCTTATAATCCGATGCGCCTTCTAGAGGGATCAATATTCTTATTTTTTGGACGTAGCATTTTAAATGTTCCGTAAAGGGCTTTGTTACAGCTGCAGCGGTCGTGAAAGCGCTACTTATAAATGAAATGTATTATTATTACATAAAGCTGTGTTGTATTGTATTCTTGATATTGTAGCTCCATCTAGTGGATGCATAACACAACCACAGCCACTGTTGCAGCTTCCATTCTGTGCGCCTTATAATGCGCTGTGCCCTCTATATGAAAACAGTTTTACAATAGGCCATTCATTGAACATGCGCCTCATACTCCGAAGTGCCTTACAGTGCGGAAAATACGGTACATAAAAATAGACTACAGAGATGAATTATGGCATGACAAGTGAGACGGCAAACATAAGGACAAAATTCTGTGAAAATGTGTTGCTTTCCAAGTTTATTACAAACATACACGTACATCAGATTGACATGACACGAAAAACGTGGGGTACTGCAATGCTGCCACATGACTGCTTGTGTTCACTGCAGACCAAATTAGGAAGAGTATTACTTCAATTCAGAGACGTGCCCCCTGCTGGTACACATGAAGAGCAAAACCCGAATAAAATAGTGCACAGTGTTTTTGAACACATTGTAGTTGTCAACAGGAGCCATAGCACTGCTTCTATACCAATGTGCACACGGTGAGGTAACATTTCAGAGGGGGGGACAAAGTGCTCTCATACAAATACATGGGCTTCCAAACAGGGCTTGTATGCAATGCACCGGCTAATAATTACAGTAGGTTTACTGTTCCACAACGACAGCAAAACTCCATCGACAAAAGCACTAGGCATTTCTTTATTGGATAATCCATTCACACCGAAAAAAAAAAAAAAGATTCCACTTGTCATGTTGATATAAACTTTCAACAATGACCAATTTCAAAACGACAGCTTGCCTCATCGACCTTGTATTCCTCCAGTGACGCGATCGTCCTCACTTTGAGGCTTGTTCTGCAAGCGTGAGTTCTTTGTTCTCGTCACACGCTTGGGGAAGTGGTTGCTAAAATGTAATCAAACAGATACCACTTGGATTTTCATGACAAACACACCAAATGTTTTGTTATTCAAGAACCGGATCATTTTTCAAGACAGAAGTGACTCTGACGTGAAATAGAAACAATCTCAATCACATGAACAGAAAATAGGTCAGTCTGGAAGTATCATTTCTGAAAATTTAAGATGGGCCCGACGTAAAACTGTACCACTCACATTTTAGTTGGAAATAACAGGGCTCACAGTATGGCTTCTTGTTTCGGACCCGAATCTGTACTCCGGTGTCTGTTTTTCCAAGATATTGCTGGCAGCCCACACACTGAGGAGGAGGGAGAAGTGAGAAAAATGCAGTCCAGCTGACAAAAATAGAGGCCTTTGCTTCAATACACTTTTAAAAAAATTACATTACAAAGGCACAGAACAGCGCTTTAACTCTCCCGTACGGTTGCTGAGAGAGACTCACCACATTAAGGTCTGAAAAAGATAACGCTTGCAAAAGGTGCGTTAAGTTTACATCTACATTCTAATGAACTCTGGACCGCTAAACTTGAAAACCCACACCGTGTGACTTTTTTTTTTTTACAACTGGCATCTAAAAAGTGGACAGCACACCCATCAAAAGACAAAAAGGCGCGACTTCAATTCCATAATGTCACCACATACCAGAAAAATGGCAGATAAAAAAAAATATATATGTATTCATCTTATAACATGACAAAACGTAAGCATTCAAATACGATGCATCATACTCGGCCAAGAAAAATGCGACTCAACTAAGAGAAAAGAGGGTTGGGAATGAATTCAGTTCCATCAAATATCACTGAAGAAATGGGAAAATTTAGGTCGGAAATGTAGGTCGGTGCTCCCGATAGCGTTTAGGCCAGCAGGGAAGGCCTTGCTCGCCACTGGGTATGAAAGAATGTTTCCGATTGCAGGTTACAGTGGTGTTCATTCTGCAAATGACAGTCACGTACACTTGAATTGGGACCGGCGACACTCCTCGACCGCTTCAATCGCATAGTGGACAATGCAGTTGCCCGTGCGATGCATCACAAGTGTACACAGCAATGTGGGAAGACAACGACAGTGGTACCTCTACTTATGAAATTAATTGCTTCTGGAAGAAATTTCTTTCGTATACATTTTTGTAAGTCGAGACGCGTTTTGCATGTAAATGCCCTAATTCGTTCCAAGGCCTCCCCATAATTCAGACGTAAATGTTTCCTAAAGCATAAAAGCGCATCAAAATATGTAACAAATACACGTTACAATTAGATTGCACAATAAATGAGAGTTGTGCACAATGTAAAAAACAAAGACTAGAGTCAAAAATACAAATGATGGTCATTTAACTTTTAACTGCGTCCTCTTCGTTTTTTGCCCTCTTCAGTTCATGTTCTCTCTCAGAAGTGTTTTTTGCCTGGCGTTTTGTTCGGAACTGATCCAAGGACTTTTGCCTTTGTTGGCTTTTAACAATCCTTTGAAAATGCCCAAGGCAAACATTAGCATAGTGAGCGATCGCTCGACTGGTGAACACTTTTTCTGGGTGATTCACATTTTCGTCAAACGATCGGAAGGCCTCATGGCCCGAGGGGCGAATGACGAGGATGCTGCATAGACACATATCCATCTATTTACACACAGCTGCGGACGGTAGAGGTCTCTCTTAGCCAATGGGATGCCAGGAAGATGCTAGGTACAGTAATAGCCAATGGCAGAGCAGCTATAAGTATGTTGCATTCAGGAAACTCGGAACTGCGAGTAGCAGCCCATACTGTTTTTTTTTTTACCTTTCGCATCTTGAAATTCCTTTCGTAACAAGAGGCAATGTTTTCCTGTTGAGGCGTTTCGTAACTTGAAAATTTCGTTTGAGGAGACGTTCGTAAGTAGAGGTACCACTGTATACTGGTGAGCCGCTCTTCAACCCAGTGGGATAATTCCTTCGGCCAAAGATAACCAGACTCATGTGAGCGCACCGTCACCCCGGTTCTTGAACACCTCACCTGAAAACAGGCAAAATGGAAGCAGAGACTAAGGGCGTCAATAACCATGGCCGCCCCACTACTCAGGTGACCTTCACACACACAGCAGGTTCTCCTTCCGCTGACCATCCTGGGGCGGCACACCGCGCACAAGGGTAACGTGACGCGCTATGACGACCGTGGGAAAAGCGGCGTTTGCGTTACCTGGCAGAATGAGAGTCCTGGGTGGGCGCGTTTCTCAGGGATGACCTCGATCCGTGAAGGTAACGGGCAGAAGCGGTTCTGCTTGGCCCGCAATAACCCGCAGCGGCCGAATGCGGTCGGTCATAACCTGCCGTAAAGGATGAACGAGCACTTCCGAGGGTGTCGAGAGACTCGTACCTGCGAGCACAGACGCGCCAATTGACACAGCTGACAACGACCGAGCATAAAAAGAAACCATTTCAACAAAATGGCAGCTTTCAACCTCTTAAGGGGCATGCCAATGTAGATGGGCTCCTTGTAGTAACTGCTGCTACGCTGGCGGATCCAGCTGTTGTCAGTCAGAAGCTGAGTTCTCTTTTTCATCTCCTCCAAGATTTGCTGCCTCTCTCGCTCGGCCTTGGATGCAGGCTCTTCTTTCCATTTCCTTGAATCACCTGGAGAAAGGAGGAAAAAACAAAAAAAAAGCCTACAAGAATAGAGGCGGCTTATACAAGAAGAAGCTCGGCTAACCTTTTGGTTGTTTGTATGAACCGGCTAACGCTGGAGTTGACAAGGATTTTAACCTGCGGGAGAGGGCAGAAACTCAACTTTTGGGATACGATGGCTGGAAAATTTGAGGAGAATAAAACGTTAGAAGTAACACGTTAGCTGTGAAGGTACCCTAAGACGGGAAGTCTGTTTGTTCTGACCTGTGTGCAGGAGAGAGCTGCGCAAAGCCAGAGGTGCCCTCAGCCCTGAGGTGTCATATTAGCAGCAAGTTGTCAGGGGAAGAAAAAAAAAAAAAGAAAAGCAGAATGAGTAGCAAGCGGATGAAGAGTGGGCTTGCCAGTCAAAAGTCATTATTGTGCATGTGACATTTCTTTAAAAAAAAAAAACAAAAAAAAACAGCTCATCGAATACTGCACAGTGCAAATAGTTCATCTGTAATGTAGGTGACAGAAAAATGGTGCCTTACCAGTCTCTGTCATTCAGATGATCCTTCAGTGTGAGATTTGGAGATTCAAGCGCAAGTTCTTCAGGGCTCTGCTCCGTTATTTTTGTCAAACCATGGAGATGAATCCCTCCTGGAGGGGTCTCGACATCTTTGCACATTCCAAAGTTGTTCTGCAACAGCACATTTACATTTGCTGGAGCAGGGTGTGACGTAGGGAATCGCAACGTCATCAAACGGTGGTTTCGTGAAGCCATTCGAGCTACAAAATGTCAACCGTTTGGCCACACAAATATGCAAAGGTGAAGCGGAGCAATAAACATCTCGCAGAGCAATGGCCTAATTTACAGAAGTAAAAACGTACATAACGTTCAATAACAGAAAATCAACTTTAACAACACACCTCCTCAATGGCGTCGCGTTTTGCCTTCTGCCACTCTGCCTCCAGCCTGTGTTGATCTCGCTCATATTGCGCCTGAACGATGCAACAAGCACACAACATCTCACCCACCATGAGGACTTTTCTGATTTCTCCCGGCTGCTGGTAACAATTTTGACCTGAAGGAGGCGCTCTTGTTCTTCCTGCCACTTCTGCTGGCGTCTCCGGTCGCCTTCCTGGTCCCACGACCAGCTGGATGAGGGCGGCATGAGGCATGGCACGTGGAGCTGCACACACAGACTGGACATGATCACCCCTGACACACACACACACACACACACACACACACACACACACACACACACAAAATGCAGGACTATTTTCGCCCGCTTGATGTATGACTGCTGCAGCGACTGAAGGGAATTCTTTTCAATGGAAAACTTAGTCGACGGAAAGTATGCGGAAAGGAAAGAGCGGGGAGGAGGCCAACAAATGGTGGAAACTTACATCTGATATTGCAGATTCAGAACCTCCTGTGTGGAAAAAAAAGAGTGACAGTAAAGAAAAAAAAATAAAAATTTCAATCTCTGCTACTGTATGGATCACTAATCATCAAAAACCAGGCCACCCACTTTCTGGAAAGACAAGGCTGGCACCACTATGGAAGGATATCGTCTGAATCTGAAGCATGAACTATTTTACAGCTTCAAATGGAACATTCACCTGTTAATTCCACTTTCAGCTCTAAATTGGACTGCAACCCCTCCCCAAAAAAAAAATCACTTGTGGGTGATTGGGAGAAGCCAGGACAAAGCAACCGATAGAGCGGTCAGGGAGTTGAACAGGATTGGCTGTTGCTGGCTCGACTGCTTTGGCCTGGCTGGGCTAGAGAACCGGAGGTGACGATTGGCTGCTGAATTTAGAGCTTCAAGTTGAATTTGCATGCAAATATTGAAAGAGCAACTGAATGTTCCATTTTTGAAGTGAAGTGTATATTGAATACAGTGGACCCCAGCATATTTGCGCTTTGGCAACTGGAGATTCATCAGTTTACAGATTTTTTTCTCTCCAATATTTCCAAAAATGTGCAATATTTAAATTTTTTTTTTTCTTGTGGGGAGCCAACCCCCATTTTATGTGAGGAAAAGCCATTTGGTGGATTACGCCTTTTTATGCAATAAGCAAACAAATACATTTTTTTTTTAATCGCCATCAATCATACGCAGATTTTTGCCACTTACATTCTTGGCCCCGGTCCTGTCTACTGCATTGCATTTTCATGCTAATAAAATTCTGCGTTAGCAATTCAGATTCAGATGGCAAAGTGATACTAGCAGACAATTCACTATTTGGACAAAATAGAAAGTTGAAGCACACAAATCACACAGAGCTAAAGTAGAGCCGATACTTTTGTTCATATTTTATATTATGTGGCAACTTGCAAGCAATGCGGAATTGCATTGTCCCATCTGAACTTTGGACCTTCAACGTGAAGCAATTAACTAGGCGCTTAAAACCTGAATATGCAGTAACCTTCAGGTCTTTATATGATCATAGAGCTCCGCGTGGTTGTATCGTTGTGTGTATCAAAGCTTCAATAAAAACAAGGCTTAAACTTGGTAGATACAATTAAAAAATGTCAGGGTCTAAAAATGTGTGTGTAAATTAATGTCCTACTCTGCCAATCGAGACCCAGTTTCATGTGACGGCAAGGAAATGCATTTCAAATAATCTACCGCTCGTGTGTGAATGAGCCCAAATTGGATTTGCTCAGGCTGCGTTGGCGTGCCCGCAGCAAAACAAAAACTTTTGACTTGTGTTAAGAAGAGAAGTCTTAAAAGCTTTGCACGCAGCGCAACCGCCACATCACTCCATTACCGCACAAGTAAACCCATGAGCTGAACCCCGCCGCGCCTTATTGGGAAGAATCCATGGTCGCAGGAGATAAAACAAGACAATGGGTCATATTGTGCCATTAAAGATGAAAAAGGGAGCGTAAAAACCAAGTCCGGTCAACGCATCAATTGTTTGCACCAAAAGGTGCCACACAACAGTTCGTTATTTTGTTGCATGCGAACAACACACATGCTAACATCCAATCCACAATGCATACAAGCAACTCCAATTGTGCGAACAGCAAACACGTTGACAACACGGACGTCAACAGGCGTCAATTGTGTCTTCCTTAACGATGCCGTTCACATTCTACGAAGGACGAGGCAAACATTCCAAAAGCAGTGAGTGTCTAGTTGGCCCCGTTTTTAGTTCATCTCGCTTGCCGGAGCTCACCAAGCAGGGGAAGAAGCAGTTACTACTGTATTTTGACTGGCATCAGACAGATGGTCAAGGAGTTCAGAGATGGCCACCTCTACTCGTCTCAACCTTCAGACATATCTTTGGCAGGGAAAGGGCACCGTTGATTGATGGAGATGCGATTCGAGGTCAATGAGGTAGCACAGAGGAAATGTCGGATTTTGGGTCAGGAAGCCTTTTGTCAGTAAGGCCTTACATCTTTAAACAACAGCAACCGCCCAAACACGGGAGAAGTTGACTTTTCCTATTGGCCAGGGGTGTCCAAACTACCGTACGGGGGGCTTTTTTTTTTTTTTCCGGCCTACATCATGAGGAATAAATAAATGAAGACATGGGCCACAAGGCTAGTTAAAAAGGTGGGAAAAGTGAGAAGGGAGGGTGTCAGAAAAACAGGTGCCATGACTACGAATTAATTTGTTGATACACTGGATACATTTTCACATTCAAAGACGCAAATAAACCATTTATGATGACAAGAATAAACACCGTAGTGAATGAAGAGAATTCAAAGTCAAAGGCAAAAATTGTTTCTTCCACTTTGTGCTATATGGCCGATTTATGAAGACATCCCTTTCATGATCCTCAAGGAACGGATGGAAAAACGGTCATTTGACTGCACTTTGTTCTTTTTTGGGCTCCGAATGTGAAGATGCGATTCGGCCGCTGTTAAGTGCATAACCGGATCTATTCTATGAGAGAGAGGGCTGTTGGACACCCCAAAAACTTGGGAAAAAAAAATCCTAACTATTTGCGCTTTAACACCTTCAACAGACAGCTAATGAAATTGACGAGACAACACAAACAATATTGATTTACTTTCTTTACTGACTTTAGCGTGTTTCAAAAAGTTGGAAAAATTACTTTCATCCTTGCACTCTTCTGTATGCGGCCCTCAAACAACAACGTTTGGACACCCCCGTGCTAGTTAATTTAAGAGGGTAGCTCAGAAGTATGATGTTCATAATTTATATTATTGGTGTCCCGAGTGAGATACACTGGAAGCGGTTTTGACTGAGGACAATTTTCCGATTCACCTCACGGTTGCGCAGGTCTCGGGCCAGCCACTCCAACGAGGGCAATTTCGACATTTCATCAGATAAGTAGAAAGGACGCAAGAAGGCCTTCATTCCTCAGCTCACCCTTTTCTTCATAGCCTCGAACATCCGTGGTAAGAGCGCCAGTTTGCGCGGCGGATGCCATTTTTTCCTCCCGCAGGCTGGAGCTCAGGTGCGCTGCCAGATCGCCGGCGACGGTCGGGATCTCATCAACTGCACGCAGCTGGCAGAGCTCGGCCGGGCCGCCTGGCGTGACGCGGACGGCCGTCAAGAAAATGAAGGTAGATAACGGCGCAGACGGCACAACACAAACAAGATTTAGAAATGTTTTGCTCAAACCAAAATGGAGAAATAAGTCGCAGTGCTGAGAACAAGGCTGCCGCTGCAAATGTTAATGCCCCCAATTCCTGGAACTCGCTTCTCCTCAAAGTGTGTCATCCATAAACTTTTCAATAAAAGTGCTTTTGACTGCATTGTTTTGTACAATTGATGTCCTGATGTTTTTTTGTTTTTTGTTTTTTTTCCGGGTAGTGACTCCATTCAAGCAAAACAGTTTAAAGCTCCCACAAAACAAAAGTTTACACTGCTTAAATATTTATGGTTGGCTTCTAAAATACTCCTTTAAAGTTGTGTCGAACGCATAACTGGAATCAAATTTGGAATATTATATCAGGCTAAATGCATTATGATCCCCCGTCTTGCCCATAATAAAACAGATGCTGATCCGGACCAAAATGTAACTTAGCTATGATAAACAAATGGCTGCATAAACTTGCACACAGAATTTGCGCATAAAATTACTGCAATAGTGACGACGACTGTTCAATTTTTAGCTAGATGAAAAATATTTTACCTGGATGAATACATTTTATTCTTGTGCCAGGAGCTTCCCAACGGGGTTGGAAACCAGAGTCCGGTCTACTGTTTGGTATGGCGGTAAGACTAACCGTCAGGTCTCGCCGGTCAACCTGAAAAACACATGAGAGCGCACACACTTCAGGTTGATACCCACTAGTCCAATGTCACGCGTTTTTTCGGATGGAAATTGGATACTTGAAGGGGACTGCTGCAGAAGTCGAGTCAAATCTAAAAAGTAGGTGAGCAGCTATTACATATCCTGTTGGTCAACTCCAACGCCCTTGCGACAAACTGATCTTTGCAGGGCACATTTGTGATGGTTATGATTCAACGGGTGTCGTTACTGTCGTACTAGTGTTGACAATGATTTGATTCAATATAGGTACTTTTAAGAAGACCACATGTCCAAGATGTTGAATTTAGCGGCAGCAATAATCAAACATACCTTGGGGACATCAACGCTGGCGCTCCTTGGCAGAGTTGTGCCTTCGCTGTGCTGAACCTGATCGGAATTGTTCTGCAAGGTGTGGTCAGAAAAACTAGTCCACTGTCCCTTTGCAAAAGCAGTCTGCTCGACGTGCTTCGCCGTCCGCACTAGATCGCTGTGGTGTGGAACTCTGAGGTAAGACGTGGCGGTCTGTCTTTTGAGCGGGGCGCTCGCAGGTGGAGATGGCGTGTCCTCTCCTTCACGAGCCCTCATCAAGTTCTGGTTGTCACTGAGCTGAGTGAATGAACAGAAGTTTCAAATACAGTACAAACAATACATTGGCAGACTAAAAAGATATCCAAGACTTCCCATCAACTGACACAGCTGCATGTATAATTAATGGAATGCGGGGAGGCAGTAGGTAACTCATACTCGCGTCACGCAGCTCACGTTACATTAACTGCAACGAGCGCTGCCTCTGCAACCACCTGGGCGCTTAACTTCAACGTGTGTGACACACGCACACAAGACAGACAAAAGCAAAATATATCGACACGCAGTGACGCGTTCACACACAGAATTAACCTGAATCATCTGTATTTTTACGTAACTATCTCAAATTGATATCCAGACTCTTCATAATGTACGATCAAAAGTACAGTGCTTGTGAGGACAGTGCAGTTCAAATGATGGAGCTCCCGTTTGAAAAAAATAAATCACAAGAGTGTGAACAAGTCAGACAACTGATGAGAAAACAACAGTTGTCAGAGCATACATAGGCTGTGTTTTAGTGAAGATAACGGGGCGTGACTTGCGCAGTTCAAATGGAAGCTCAGAAGCGGTGCTGGAACAACTGTGCACACTGCTTTGCTTGTTTGGTTGTTGTTCCTTTCGCAAGAACGAACATATTTTTAAGCTTATCTGGGTGTCCTCGGTATTATTCATGTTATTTTTCTGCAACATCAAATTCCTCATACTTAGGTTGGCTAGGACAGGGATGGAGGGGATAGAATTCTAGTACTGCCATTTTAAAATTACATGTACGTTAAAAAAGAAAAAAACGTGCATTCATAATACTGCCTTTCTAAGAGTCAGCAAAATTTTAAAGTCTCTTTCATAATGTGTGGAGGTGAAAAAATCGATTCACTCAATTATTTATTGATTCAATAAATCGATGTCAAAGTTCAGACTCGATTTTCATGATTTTTCCAAAAAGCAAAGGTGAAACTACCACTCTCTTCCAGCAGATAGCAGCGAAGAACCAATTTGTTGTGGCGAGTCAGCGGACAAAAGCATTCAGCAGCGTCACACGACGTCATCAGAATGCGCCAGTGCCCGAGCCATGAAGCCGGCTCTTTCTGAAATGTGACTGACTTATCTGGCTGCAATGAAGTACATCATTCAACTCATGGATTGTTTACAATTGTTTTAAAATGTTAAGAAAACAATATATTACTTGAGGAAAAATACCAATAACTGACATTCAATCTCAAATCACAGTATAACCAATAATCGTGATATAAATCTAATTGTCATTGTGGTTTGAATCGAATCAGAAGTGAATCGTCCCTTCCCTACAGTGGAACAGTAAAATGGAGAAACAACAGAGATGAAAATGACTTGTTAATGTAATGACCAATCGCGTTTACTGGGGGGGGAACAAGATAAAAGTAAAAATTGCTTTTCAGAATGTTATATACAATGGTTTTTTTTTTTTTGAAATGCAGCGCTACATTGACTACACTCACATTGTTCCGTTTTGGTAGTGTTGACATCCCAGATGACTTGGTCCCAAAGGGCCTAGCTGTGATAACAGACGAGAGGCGACAGGAACCCTCCGATTGTCTGAAACCACGAGGAAGGCTGGCTGAGCTGGACCAAGAAGCAGCTCGAGTGAAATACTTTCTGGCGCCTGCAGCGGACTGACATCTACTTTTGTCTTCTGACATGTCAGAAGGGCTTTCATGTCTCTCCATTTCTGACAAGGGTTTCTGGTGGGAAAGGTCTCTGAAAGCAACAGAGATATCCACACTGCTTGCCGATTCTGCTTCATTTGGAGAAACTAGGGCGCCTACAGAAGAAATTTGGGCTGCATCCTTCTCTGGCTGACTCACAGCAGTTACAGGTTGAGCAAGAGCAGAAACGTCTCGGGCTTTGAACTGGGTTTGGGAGCTAAAAGCATTGTCTTGCGTTGGTGTGGTTACTGCTGCTCCAGTTAATGCCAAAGATGCAAAATGGGTCTCCACTCCCGTGATGTTCCCATCAGCGGCAGGAATGGATCCAACTGAGTGAGCCTGACAAAACAACAAGCGGAAAACAAACATTACAGCACTGATATAGCCATTTTAAGCGTAGTTAGAATTTTCAATCTTTGGTAAAGCAAAATATTTTTAAATCCGACCTATTTAAAGAGTGCGCACACAATACAAAAAAAGAAGGTGGATGAAACTATTCCTACCTAAAACGCACAACTAACAACAGTTCATGAAGGTAACTATGCTATCAACTTTGAAAGATGCTATATCGGCTTCCTTCAGCCTTGAGGACTGCTCAAGGATGCACGAACTGACGTTTTCGGCATGTAGACCACTAATGTGTACATACCGAGCAGCCAGCAAGACAAACAATGGAGGAGGGGTAAAGAATTGCGTTTTGAAGCTGTAAATACAGTTCCAGTTTCGAATTTGCAAGGATGAAAACATTCAGGTTCGTGGTACACTCAATGCTGTTGACGAGGTGTTATCGAGCTTCAAAAGCAGATGGCTGCTACTATTGCAGGGAAGGTCCTCCACTGCTCAAAAGCAGCAGAAGCAGGACTTTGATGCAGAAGCATAAAAAGTAGAGCGACTTTTCTTTTGTTTAAAAAAATAAAAATAAATGTAAACTTACCTGTGCGGGGGAAACTTCATCGTGGTTATACGAAGAGGCAGGGCTAAAAGACACCACAGTGGCATAGCTTCGAGTCAGTGGAGCTCGACTATGTGTCCGGAAAAAAAAGCTTGAGAACTTTGATGGAGGGGAAGCGGAGTGCGAGCGTGGGGCAGGGCTCTGCCTTTGTGCTGACAGCTGGTCTCTGGGGAATTGGTTTGTAATGGAAGAGGAGTCAGAGTAATGAAGGCAGCAGGAAAGATGGAGGATGTGTCACATTACTCCAGTTCACTCTGCTATTCAGACAACGAAGGTCAGCGGCATTTCACACAAGTTATAAAACATATGGCAGCCAGCGACAGATTTTTACGTATATGCCTGCACTTTCCCCTAATCAACTTACCTTTCTAGCTGGGCGCCGGGGCCGTTTTCTTTCTTTTCGAGGTCATTCCCGGCTCCTTTGGCCAGCTTGTGAACGACATGTTCTCGGTCAAGGGACTTCCTGCGGAGATTGGACTTGGAGCTCTTGCGATGGTTCTTCCACTTTGTTAAGGCCTGAAATGGGTCAACGTCTACACGTTATAGTCCTGCTTCAAGACCAATTTCACACCAATCAGCCGATTTCCTTCTAATGGCATGTAAACATGAACGATCATTTGACGTGCATCTTGCCAGCGGGCCTCGCAGTCTCTGGTCGCACTGTGGCTCCTCCATTTCTTGTCTTGATTCCTTTTAACTGGACCGGTCTCGCAGCCCTCGCCCACTAATCCATTTCCTGGTGGGATGTCATTCAAAGATTTGCTTCTGTTGCACAGAACACTGCAAGAGAGAAATGAAGGCGATATCATAAAGTCCTTGGCATACTTCTGCCAAATTACATTGACAATTAACGAGTGCTTTCGTGGGCCACGTAAAATGATGTGGCAGGCCAGATCTGGCCCTCCCGGGCCTTGACTTGGACACCTGGGGTTCTAGAGAAAACCTTCTGTGTAGAACGATGAGCATGTGCACTTCTCTGGTTGACCTTCCTGAGTGGAAGTTGTCCCATTAAACCACCGTGATATGATCACTATCTACTTCTGAGCTACAGTTGAGATTCATCTTGGCAATCTCTTGATAGCCTTTTGGTCAGGGATGGACATCTGGCAGCTCATATGCAGCCTGCAACCACACTCAGAGCGGGGTTGCGGTTGGAGGTTGAATCCAAGTGAAACACACCAAGATACTGTGATCTGTGTACATTGGTTCGATAAAAGAACAGACATATTTTGGTCAATTGTGCCTTCTATTTGGTTAGGAAGTGCAGAGTCCTGTGGCCACTGCTAATGTGAGCCAAACAAAAAAAAAAAGTGACCATCTCCATCTTATAAGTTGCTCATCATATTGTAGAACAATTGTTTTTTTTCTTTTAGCTCCTCATAGCTCTTTGCCACGACGTGGCATATTCAATTTCCAGTAGGAGATTGTGGGAGTGATGGGAGAGTTAACACACCGACTTCCAATTAACACCTGAGACCTTGGAACACCTGAGTCACACGACACCAGAGAGGGGAAAAATGGCAACTGGGCCCAATTTTGACATTCACACCAAGGGATGTGGTCACTTTTGTCACCAGCATGTGAGATTTGTGCTGCGTGGTGCAAATTATTTTGTCGGTCTTATACGAGCTGTACACTGGAACAAAGTTTCATTTTCTTCAGTGTTTTCCCATGAAAAGACACACAGTCCCAAACTTTAAGGCTTTGGCGAGATACTATACAGATATCCAAGGAGGGCCAAATTCGGCATATACACTCGTTGTCTAAAATCATGTCAAACTTCGCTTTGCAAAGAAAAGCAAAATATAAATGGGGACACTAAAAAGAAAACAAATGGCAACGCAAATCCAGCCTGGGTTACGAACTTGGACACATTCAACACAACATTGACAACAAAATATCACATTAGCACTTTAGCGCCATCTACTGGCCAGCTCTCAAAACAACCAAACACCACATAAAAACAAAGATGCTTTGTACATGTTCCAAAAACTCTTTCACATTATAGACGACGGAGAATTCTTCGACGAGGTCGAGCTTCAAGTCGGTGTGACTTGGAGGACTCGCCATTTGTTTACTGCTTTCTGTTATCGAAAAACGGTTCAACGGAGGCCTGCTTTTTGCAGAAATATTACGTTTCTGCACAGCGACCTTTGCGAAGACAGAGGTTTTTGTTTACGAGGAAATTGCATTTTATCAGCAAGTTCAGATTGCCATCGGGAACATTTTTAAACTCATTCACAGCCATCGATTGCTACAGAGGCCAAATACGCACCGAACCTGCGAGGGTTGACAGTGAATGAGTGTTAACACACTCCAGTTGCACCACCGCCATCTCTCTCTAACCGAATTAGAATTTGATTCCAATACTCGGCATTTTGCACGAGGAAGAGGCAAACAAAAAAAAAAAGACAAAATAAGGAAAAGCTCAAAACAGACCACCCATGTTTCACATCATTGAGTGACAAGCGATGTCGTACCCGGTTAACGAAGTTGAGACGTTCCCATTTTCTTCTTTTCGTTTCCTCCGTAGGAGTGAAGGTGGGATGGAGCCTTTGAGCGGCTGCTGTGCGATATCCGTCCTAAATACTTGCTCAGCTTCCGCATCACTTCCACAACCTTTTGGAAGAAAAAAATAACATACAGATGAGTGCTCCGTCTTGTGTCCTGTGTGTTGTGTTGTGTTATTTTGACTTCAAAATGGCGCCGCGAGAGTGGCTGCCTTTCCAGGATTATTCTATTGATGTCACTTGGGTAGAAGATAAATACATTCCTTTGTCCAGACCACTAAAATAATTCATACACTACCCACTAGCAATGCTTTGTGTTCATTATTTTTATTTTTTTTTTACCTTTCCTGTTCAGCTGTTTGGTCAAAAAGGGGCAGTCAACCGTAAAATTTTCTTGACAAGAATATGTTCTACGCACCACCAGTCTTAACATTTGTGGAATATGAGTTAAGCAGCGAGATCCACCCGTGTTTTGCTATCTTATGGGGCGGCCATTTTGTCTTTTGCTGTCGAGAGATAATGACATCACAGCTGCTCAGGGAACGACCAATCGTGGCTCAGCGGCGTGTCATTTGTTCGTCACTATGCCATTTATTGGGTACTTTTCGGGTTCATGGAGGACGACTCACAAAATGGCAATGCCATTCGCATTGTGAATTATTCTATTGATGCCACTTGGGCAGAAAATAAATACATTCCTTTGTCCAGATCACGAAAATAATTCATACACTGCCCACTAGCAATGCTTTGTGTTCATTATTTATTTATTTTACCTTTCCTGTTCAGCTGTTTGGTCAAAAAGGGGCAGTCAACTGTAAAATTTTCTTGACAAGAATATGTTCTACGCAGCTCCATTAGTCTTAACATTTGTGGAATATGAGTTAAGCAGCGAGATCCACCCGTGTTTTGCTATCTTATGGGGCGGCCATTTTGTCTTTTGCTGTCGAGAGATAATGACATCACAGCTGCTCAGGGAACGACCAATCGTGGCTCAGCTTCAGAAATCAGGTGAGCCGCCTCCCGAGATGGCTAAAAAGTTGATTTTGCTGCTTCACCCATATTCCACAAACTGTAAAAATATTAAATCGGAATGTAGAGTTTAGACGAGTGAAGGCGTGTAGAGACAATTTTTGGATTGACTTCCCTTTGAGTTAAACTCTAGTACTGTACTTGGATTCATCAAGCCTAAATGGACCAGACGGACTAATTTTAGGCAGTGCTGTGATGCATGATTGACCACTAGAACCCATACAAGCGCGCACAAACCAAGCACCTTCACTACTTGGTCGGGGGGCTTGGGTATCTGCAGAGTCCAAGCTATCCACTGAACTCTCCCTCTTATAGCTCATTCTCCCTCCTGGATGACTGCACTCTCGGTGGGCACCGTCTTTCACACACGCATTCCCGCCCTCGTCGAGAGCCTGA